TATAGCACTAACTCATCGGGTAGCTGTAAGCACTTAGTAAGTGATACATGTGTTAGTTGTTATTTTATCTCTTACGGGTGTTGCAGGTGTTAGATGAGACAATACAGGTAAAGCTTCTGTAGAACACAGTGTCTGATGCAGGTTCAATCAATGTCCGTTACTATTATTTTTAAACTGCAGCACTGTTAAGATTTTTTTGTGGCCACTACTACCTCTCTTTTCCAGACTAATCACCTTTTCTTCATAGCACACATTGTCAAGTGTTCATCCCTATGCATGATCTGACTGACCTGTGCAAATCCCCTGGGACCATCACCCTGCCTGCCCTCTATACCTTGACTGTGAAGAGTAAAATTGCTTTGCTCCAGTAAAGTATGTTCTTTTAATCTTCTTCACAGTCACTCAAACATCAATTATCATCAGCAAATGGCACCACATTTGAGCATTTACCAAAAGGCTGGGTCAACGCAGCCTATAGCTGCACCTTATAGCATCTGCTGTCTACAGAGACCCAGCTTTGTATTTTGGCCAAATACCCTAATTTTCTCTCCACCAAGTCCTGCCCCACTAGCCCAATTTCAAACCAAACAACAGAATGTATGTTTGGAATTGATAGAGAGATTACATGCGAGAGCAGGCTATACTCTGGGTGAACTGTGAGATTACGGGGAGGGGAAGGTGTACGTAAAAAGAGAAAAGAAAAAAAGAGGAGGGATTGTGAGGCTCTAGCAAAGGGGCATGGTGCAGAGCTGAAGTTTCACAATTCAGCTTCAAGTGTCCCACATGAGCACATCTTGGGCACGGTCATGCATCTGACATTAGTTTTTTCTAAGACCTGACTATCAATTGCCCACTTTGAGAATTCCCCCTTTTCAGCTTTTTCATCCTTTGAGACCTTATACCTTTTGTTCTGTTGACTGCAGTCACCAGTCTTGTGCTCTTGCCTCCACAAGCCCTCAGGGAATCACCCCGGTTTCCCTCCTTTCCCTCTATAGCTGTTTCTCTAGTTCTGTCATGGGACTGCCTTAAATCCTAACATCCTTCTCTATGCTGTCCTTTGGTGTTCTCACTGACACCCACACCTGCCACTAGTATCCATGCTCTGACAACCTCCAAGTCTAAATCCCTAGCCCAAACTTCCCTCCTCTCTTGGAGACTGGCCCACACATTGCCAACCCTCTAACTAAACATTTTAATCTAGGTTTCCTGCTGGTCCCAAAATTGACAATGTCCAATATGAAACTCTTTATTTCTTCCTATCTCCAACTTCTTCATCATGCTGTGCTTCCTGTTTTGGATAATGACACAACTGTCCAAACCTGAAACCTGGGAATCATTGCAGATTCCCTTTTCCCTCACTCCAATGGGATCCCACTGATAGTATTCAGTATGTATTTCTTGCATCTGTGTCATCTTCTGCATGTCCCCTGTAACTGCCATTATTTAGACATTTTCCCACTCAGACCATTCTAACAGCTTCCAAAAGATCTCCCTGCTAGCATCATCTCTCCACTTCTTTCCCCTTCTACCTTTGTCCTCCACTAGACCATCAAAACCACTTCCTAGGTTGCAGGTGTTGTCATCATTGACATGGTATTTATAGCTCTTCATCAACCAGACCCTCCTTGTCAATACCCAAGGATTAACATATTATTTCTCAAAATCAACCAATTAAAAATATTTTTAAACACCTTCTATGTGCTTAGGATTGTGTTAGGTCTTGTGGAGGACATAAAGAAGTTTAGTAGATGTAATCTTCAACTTTTAAAGACTTTCCAAATTAACGTGAAAAAATATTGCATAATTAAGTGCTTCATTGTGTGGTATAGTCTATAGAAGCAATATGAAGTGTGTGTTTAGGCTGCTTTTCCAAGGTTTATAAAAGTTCACAAATATGTACAGTCAAGCATTGGCTTAACGACAGGGATATATTCTGAGAAACGTTAGGTGGCTTTGTTATTGTGTGAACATAAACCTAGATGGTATAACCTACTACACAGCTAGGCCATATGGTATAGCCTGTTGCTTCTGGGCTACGCCTGTACGGCATGTTACTGTACTGAATACTGTAGGCAATTGCGTAAGTACTTGTAAGTACTTGTGTATCTTAACAGAAAAGATACAATAAAATTACGGTATTATAATCTTATGGGCCCACCGTCATATGCGCAGTCCATTGTTGACTGAAACGTTGTTATGCAATGCATTACTGTATATGCACATAAATTACGTATGTGAAAGTCCCTGATAAAAAGTTTATAATACAAATTTGCCTTGGTAACACTAGTTATTTATATTATGAAGAGGGAAGGAAGTCACCTCTATCAGATAACACACCTTCATTAGTTAACTTCACAAGAGTACTTATTTTATTGAATATTCATTCTGTTCTCTTTTCAGTAGGAAGGAAAATAGTTTCTGTAATAGAAATCCAAAAATGGGCCATTGCTTTCACTCCTTAGAGGGACATAAATCAGACAGAGTCAACATCAGGTCAAGCGGGCAAGAGAAGGAAGAAAAACAACACATAGCTTTAGCATAACCACCTAAATCCATGTGTTGCCTGGCTTCAAAATAAAGAAATCTAGCTTAAAGCTGATGATCTCTCAAACAGATGGGACCTCCGCAATCAAATACAAGTCTAGCTCTTCCACTACGAAGCCCAGGCAGGCTGGCCTATTGTGATGCTCTCATCTTGTGAACCCCCCGTGCAGAACTCCACAGGGAGGCTACAGCACAGGTACCCCTGTTTTCCTCCCAGGAGAACAGATGGACTTGGCTTTGCAAAAAGGGAATCAATTTAGAGAAAACCTGTAGTCTATGACTTTCCTTGTGCAAATTGCTCTAAGGTAAGATATCAGAAGCCCAAGGGAATGATATAATCTTTCCTAGTTCTTGCTCATTAGCTTGTATGGGCTTGAAACAAAGTGCTAATAGGTTTAAATCATGCTGGAGGGTTTTCCAGGATGGGCAGAGTTTTGGACTAGGAGCCAAGAGGAATAAGCTCTCTTCCTGGCTCTGCTGTTAACCAGTTGTGTGTGCAACAAGAAACAAAAAAATGATCAACAAAAAAAAAGCCCCTTAAATTCTGGAGTCTCAGGCTCCTTATTCCTCATAAGGACTTGCTGGTGATAAAAACATTCAGAGTAAAAAATATTTCTAAGAAACAGAGGCAATCTGAGACTCTCCTGGCAAAGCTTTCAAGCACCCTGACCATTTTTATCCCAGGGCCACAACCCCTTCGTGACTTGCCTCCGTGCCTAGTTTACCATTATGGTGAGCAGAACCACCTGCTCACTTGTTCCAGGGCCAACATTAGATTTGAAAGGACCTATCATATTAACAGAATGTTTGGAAGTTTTGAAAACACTTTCACATTTACCATTTCACTGCATCCTTACAACGCCTTTGAAATAGGCAGAGCTAGTCCTCTTCTTGTTCCTAATTTGGGGGTGAGGGAACTGAGGCTGAGAGTCCAGAAGCAGTGCACCTCTCTCGACTCCTCCCAACTCCTTCCAACTCCCCAGCCTCTCTCTCTTCTTCCCTGGGCTCCTGTGTCTGTTTTTCAGATCCTACTAGATCCTCTGTGCTTTTGAATTAGAACCTAGAATCTTGGATTTGTCTTCCCACCAGCTCTGAAGACAATCTTTCTCTCCTGCTCCTTTTAATCCCAGGGAGAGAAATGAAACATCCCACCTTCCTCACAAGCACATACTGACTGCCTCCCCTATGAGGGTTTTCTGCCTGTTCTCCTCCTTTCTCCACTTTTACTCTCCATCACTGTCAAAAGCATTTATTTATTCCACAGATGTTCCCCAAGTGTCTACTTGTTTGCAGGGCACTATTTAGATATTTGGAAGCGAAGGTAACAGGCACACACGAGGTGCTCCAGTCGGTGGGGCAGCTAGCTGCATTTTCAAGTGGTGTGCCTGTTTTATGATTGCTCTGTGTTCCTCTTCATTTGTATTTTCAGTCTTGGATTGTAAAACACACAGAACGGGTCCCTGAATTTTGAACTCACCCCTAAGTGGTATATGGAGAGAGATACCTCAAAAGGGTGTTTTTTTGGTTGTTGTTTTTTGTTTGCTTGCTTTTTTGCTAAGCTGATTGATTTCCATTGATATCAAAAGTCAGGACTGGTAGAAACAGAAGAACAAAACAGTTTCATCTCAAGAGAAATGCCTGAAGAAATAGTGGCAAAACCAGTATCATTTTAATTAATAAATTAATCACGATAAATGTTCTTAAGTCTATTTATAAGACTACAGAGATTCTTCTACACTCGGTGTTGGATTAATGGAAATTTTCTACTAAGAACCAGCTCCATTTACTAATGCTCATTTGTGCATCTGGTACATGAAGCCTGTACTGAAGTAGAAGTTCAAGACCTTTCTAATTCATTAGTCAGTGACTTATTGATTCTGAAAGCTACAGACCCTGTGCCTTGTCATCATTTTCATAAAGCAGTCCTCAGGGTAGTGTTCACTGTAAAATATTGAGCTTATTAAGAGTTTTTGGGCCTCTGATTAACTTTCACAGCAAAAGCTATGTTAAGTAAATTAGGCACCAAATAAATCTAAAATGATTGTGGAAAGTCATCAGCTAAATTAAGACGCTGACAGCTCACATAACAAGATGCAAAGCAATAGTAATTAAGAAAAATAATCACCTCTGCTGCTGAGATGATGGGTTTGGCCCCAGGTGAAGTAGCTCCCAAGGCATCTGCTTTCTAAAAGGAAAGTCGTGCTGTTTTGTTCTGCTGTGAAGGGGTGAGGGGCAAGAGATCGTTTTCTGTATTATAGTATTCACCACATACTCTAATGAAGAGCATTATATTTGGGAAATAATCTTATGTGAGGCAGAAAAACAGATTTGCAGAATTACCCAAGATCTCCTGTAGCCCTAGTGTGGCAGACATTGTGAACTGGCCCCACCAGTACACACAACTCCTTTCTCCCTGCTTTCCTCTAATGGAGAAGCAAGAAGATGAAAATATTCACCTCTTAGACTCGTTCACCGGGAGTAGTGGTCATGTGATCCAGTTTTCCTCAATGAGATGGGCGTGGGAGTTGCTGGGTAGAACTTCTAGGAAAGCTTTTAAAACGGACAGATGAGACTGGATGCCCATTCTGCCTTTTCGCTCTTGTCTTTCTCCCTTCCTCCTGCTTGGAACATGAACAGGAAGTCAGAAGCAGCCTAGGTTGCCTGCTCCTCACTGCCTGGTCACTGGAGGGAAAAGCTCTATCTGCTGAAGCCATTTTCAGCACGGTGTTTATTGTTGGAAGTCAAATACAAGCTTAACTTGAGGACTTTTCGGTTCAGAGGATAATTTCTCCGCAGTGCTGTGGGGTTTAGTAGAAGCAAAACCACAACCAAAAACAACAACAGTATTGTATCTGTCTGCGTGCCATTTTCCATTAGTAATTTTTAGGCAATGACATGAATTTTTTTGGAGAACTGAAAGCCAGCCCTGTGAATGCAATGCAAGCGTGCTTCTCATCGGGTCCTTTACTCTCTTAATCTGGTGACAATTCTTTTCTCTGAAGATAACTTGTCACCAATTCCAGGGGATGTGTTTGAGAAGCAGGACTGTATTTTCCTTGCTGGCTCCTTGGAATAGTGCATCTGTGTTAGCTATCTTGAGATTTAGAATTTAAACTTTTCCTGCTCCAAAGGATGCTTCTAAATGTATAAACATAAGATGGGGTTTCTTGGCTGTACTGCTTTTACCTACAATACTTTGGTTTTTTCTTGTAATCCTGGAAAATGAAGCAGTGATAACAAAGATTCAGGCCTAAAAGAGAGGGAAGGAGAGAGAATCAGTGAGTGAAGAGCCTTAACTCCTTTATTATCTCCTGGGTCACATGGCCTGTTTTTCTTGCCAGTCCACATACATTTTGGACATTCCTTGCATATTCAAGGAAGAAGACAACAATATACATTCTACATTGGTCAACAGTGAAGTGAATCACAACATCTTTCCTTGCTTTCTTTTTGTATTATGGGTCCATAAAGAGGGTATATTATGATTGAGAGTCAACTTTTCTCCCTGCCAGGGGCCTAGGAGTATATGTTTTCAAGGTTTTTTTGTTTTGTTTAGTTTAGTTACTGAGCACACTTGGGATGTGGTTACGTTCCTTCTTGAGATATGATTTATTTCCTGGACAAATATTTATTAAACACTGTATTAGTAATCTATTGCTGCATAAAAAATTACCCCCTAAAACTTAGTGGTTTAAAACAAACAAACAAAAAGCATCTATTATCTCACACAGTGTCTGTGGGTCAGGAATCAAGGAGCAATTTAGCTTGGCCATTTAGTTGCAGTCAAGATCTTGGCAGGGCTGCAGTCATCTAAAGGTTTGACTGGGGCTGAAGAAGTCACTTCTAAGATGGTGCATTCACATGGCTGTGGGCCAGAGGCCTGCCTCAGTTCTTCATGGGCTGTTCACAGGAGGCCTCACTAGTCAGTGTTACTCTTTCCCAGCATGAGTCTTAATTGTGCTTGGCTCCATGCTCTGAGTTCTTGGTTCTACCCCCGAGTCATATTTCTTTTTCCATAAAAGGTATACTGTATATGTAGCTGCATAGTTTTCTCAGTTACAAGACAAAAGTGTAAATTTTTTTGTAACTTGGCTTCAGAAGTCACAGACCATCATTTCCTCAAAATCTTATTGGTTGCATAAACTAGACCTATTCAATATTTGAAGAGACCACATAAGGGCATGAAAACTAGGAGGCAAGAACCACTGGGGCCATCTCAGAGGCTGATTACCACAAACATTTACCAAGGCCAAGGCTCTATGCAGGGCACACTGGGGACAGAAGACGAAGGTTCTTTTTCTCAAGAAACTTATACTCTAACTTGGGTGATTAAACACACACACACACACAAATAATGTGAAAAATATCACTGACTTATATAACCAAATTGCTGTAAGGAAAAAGCACTCACTGGGTGTATTTCTCTGTTTCTCCCACTAGTTTTTAAGCTCTTGGCAGGGCATTTCTCATCTTTATTCCCCACAGGGCTTAGTTCAGAGCCTTGCAAAAGTAGATCTTTAGTAAATATTTTCGGAATGGACAAAACCCCATGGAAAGATCAAGAAAGTCTGAAAACTAAGAATAGGTCATTGGGTCAAATGATCAAATTTTGATTATTTTAATTTTCTAGGAAAAGAATTCTGGGAGACTCTTTGATTAAAACTGAAATTGCAAGGAGTAAAGAAGGTGGCAAATTAGATCATTCAGCAAATTTGGAAGTAAAAGGGAGGGTGGAAATGGATTTAACTTGAGAGGAATTAGTCAACAGATTCTTTTTTTTAAAGTTTAAGTTTAAAGTTTTTTTTTAAGTTCGAGTTTAAAGTTTTTTTTTAAAGTTTTGTGGGCATTTTTCTAGCTAAGGGAGGAGTCATAAAGAGAAGATAAAATGAAACTGAAGAAGAGAATGTTGATAACCGATGAAGCAACGTCCCAGGAAGGGTTCACAAGGACAAAAAGACTAACCATTGAAAAGAAAAGGAATATTTCTTCTTTGGAAAAGACAAAAGATAAAGAGACATTGTAGAGTGAAGAAAAGGGAAGCTTTGTTAGATCATGTTGAATTGCCTTGATTTTTTTCAGTAAAGTTGGGGGGCAAGGTCATTCTACAGACTGAGGGGATCCAGAAGGGGATGGAGCTTGAGGACAATGGAATGTGCAGCAAACTATTGGAAGAAATTAGAGAGTGAGTGGCCTAAATACTCACAGGATGGTAGTGAGGAGCATTTGGGTTAGGAGAACCAGTATGCATGAGGACACAATGTCCTCTGTTACTACTGGAACCATGGATGGAAAATAATAGCTACCTACGCAAATGGCCATAGCTAGGAACCTTGGGAGACAGTCCAGCAGGTTTCTACCCTGACTGAATGTTCTAGTTCCATCATATAATTTCGTTCTTTTGAAGATCACTAGGAACCTTGGGCTGAGAAGAAGTGGCATAATCTGCCACTTAAATGTGTGATATGCAATGTGGAAAATATGGAAAGAGTTTTCAATCTTTCTAGCAATTCTTAACACGAACAATTTAAGATTCAGTTACTAACGAGCACTGCTTCACATCATATAAATGATGTCAATACCCTCTTCATATTAGCCGATGTGAAATCAACACTTAATTTCCATGTTCTTCTGTAAGTAAGTCCTATATCAAACTACATAAAGACAGTGGCATTTTATGGAAAACATTCTCAAATGGACAGGAAATGACTAAACTGGGGCTTAGGAGACCTGGTTCCATTCCAGCTCTGCCACTGTCTCACCTTAGGCAGGTCACTTAATCACTTGCCTAGTGATAGAAACCTAGTAACCAGTCATTTGCAAAGCTAGAAAACTGGATTAGATGCTCTCTAATTCTTTCCAGCTCGAGCATTCGATGACTCCGTGGTTTCCAGTCCATCAAATCACCTAGATTTTCCCCTGTGAGTGCCACACAAGCTGGACACTAGGGGTCACATTTAGATAATCACTCATAAACACATCTGTCTGAATCTCCTAAACAGCCTTCATTTACTTCAATAGAAGGCTCTTAGCTAGACGATGATTGACCTAGTTTCTCAATACAAAGTCCTTAGATGGGATCATGCTATTTCCCTTTCTGGCTGGCTGAGAATTCTAGAGGAAAGTGGAAACACAGGTTTCTCTGACTCAGAGACTTTCATTTTGGGTTAATGCTATTTTCTTTCTCTCACACATGACCTCAAATTAGGGCATTCTTTTACTCATGGGGCAGATAGATTTTTCTTGAAGCTTTCATGATTTCCTCCACAAATGCTCCTTGGCTGGATGGGTAGTGTCCCCATCCAGATCACATTATAAAAAATCAGAGTTGCCTCCAAGGAAAACCATTTTTGATAGCTCCTCATTGAATGATCAATATTTCTTCCACAATCTATTTCATGGCAAAATGAACAGTACTCTTTCACAATCTATTTCATGACTTACTTTGCTTTCAGGGAAAGTCAACCAGAGAGATGGGTGTCTTCCCCAGTCTCTTTGCCAGAAGATCCCTGAAGTCTTCTTGACCATGTTTTAATTAGGGCATTAGTTTGTCTAACCTAAGTCCAATTTTCCTCATTTTAAAGGTCAATTCTGAGGAAAATTAAAATGATTAGCCATCACAGGAAGGGATAATGTTATAAATAAACCTTCCCAAACTTAATAGTAATACTTCCCTTCATCTATATGGCTTTACAGTTTTCAACGGTCCTTACATATATTATCTCGTTTGAGTATCAATTGTAGTTTTTCTTTCCCCTTACCCCCCATATCTCCTTTGCCAAAGAATAAAACCCAAGAGGGGCATAGGAGGGAAGGGACAGCAGAGACGGCACTTGGGCTGGAGAAGTGGGTGAAACACTCATTGTGGCAACTTGGATTGTAACCTGATTCTGTTTCTTACCAGTTGTGTGTCTTTTGGCAAGTTACACTCACTCTCTGAGCCTGGATTTCCTCACCTGTAAAGTATGTATATGAATGCCCCCTCTACCTAGCTGCACTGCGTTATTATCATCCCTCTCTTCTCATTCTCTCTTGAAGCCTCTCCAATCAAGCTTTTGACCCTATCACTCCTCAACATTGGCTATAGTTGAGGGCACCAGTCTTGTTGCTTCACATGACAACTATATATTGAAATACCTACATTTCTGTAATCTGGACCCCTCCTTTAAACATCAGACTCATATATCCAATTGCCCCTCCAGCATCTTACTCCAATGTTTGTTGAATATCCAAATGTAACAGATCCAAAACAGAACCCCTGAGTTTTCTTCCTTCTCCCCTCAACTTCTCCCCTTGCGGCTCCCCATTTTAGTTGATGGAAACTCTATTCTTCCAGTTGTTCAGGCCGAGAGCTTTGGAGTCATCCTGGACTCTTTACTTTCACATCTAATTTATTAGCAAATTCTATCAGCTTGACCTTCAAAATATATCTGAAATTTGACCAATTCTCATCACCTCTGTTATTTAACACTCTGGTTCATGCTACCATTCCTGCCCATCTAGATTATATTAATTGTTTCCTTACTGGCTTCCCTGATTTCACCCTGGCCCCTGTAATGGTTAATTTCATGTCAACTTGGCCAGGCTATAGGTCCCAGTTGTTTGGTTAAATATGTCTAGATTTTGCTATGAAAGTATTTTTTAGATGTGATTGACATTTAAATCAGTAGACTCTGAGTAAAGCAGATTGTCCTTCATTATGTAGGTAAGCCTCATCCAAAGAGTTGAAGATCTTAAGAGTGAACACTGAGGTTTCCTGGAAAAGAAGGGATTCTACCTCCAGATTGCAACATATGATTACCACATATACAACTGTAGGAGTTTCAGCATATAGATGTGGTATTAAGTCACAAGACTGGTGGCCTCAACTATGGCCATTGTGGAAGAGGACCTGATAGGGTCAAAAGCGTAACTGGAGGGGCTTCAAGAGAGAATGAGAAGAGCAGGGTGTAATGAGAAATTTTGTCTGAGTTTCCAGCCTTTGAACTCAAAACAGCAACATCAATTCTTACCAGAATCTGAAGCCTGCTGGCTTGCTCTGGGGATTTTGGACTTGCCAGCAGTCCCAGTTGTATGAGGCAATTCTTTAAATCCATCTCTCTCTTGCTCTCATGTTATTTCTTCTATTAGTTCTGTTTCTCCAGAGAACCCTTCCTTCCTTCCTTCCGTCCTTCCTTCCTTCCTTCCTTCCTTCCTTCCTTCCTTCCTTCCTTCCTTCCTTCCTTCCTTCCTTCTTCAGTCTCACTCTGTTGCCCAGGCTGGAGTGCAGTTCTCTTCATATAGCAGTCAGAGGGAGCTCCTTAAAATGAAAGTCAGTGCATAATTCCTTGATAAAAAACAAACAAACAAACAAAAAACCCTGCTCTGCT